ATACCAGCATTTCAATAGGAAATGAGTGTCTCATTTTGTTAAATGTTTTCAATTCTGAATGTCTGAATGTGAGCAAAGTCGTCAAACATGCAGGGAAAAAACAAATTAAAAAAGAGCAGTGTTTTTGAAAAAAGCCATTTGTGGCTTCTTATATGCCTGGTTTAAGGACAGCCTGCTGTGTGCAAGCTCTGGCCCAGGGGTGGACTGTGGAGGAGCCCTGAGTGGTTCCTCTGGAGCTGGTCCACCAGCCCTCCCCGCTGCACCCACGCCAGTCCCGGCAGTAGTGCTGCTGGACCAGAGCCTTTCTGGGGTGACCCATCTTCACCAGCTCGGGTCCTCACCAGCCCCTGGCTCAGGAGAGCAGCTTGTGGGTGGCCAGCTCTTCCACAGCTAATATTTGCACTTGTTCAGCAGTAAACAGCCATCATTTGAATGGAACCATAAGGTAATTTTTGTAATTGATTTTGAGGTTAGAAAGGTGTTTTTGTTGTGTTCTGGTTATGTTCTGCTTGCTGCTCTTACAGTTTTTCCTGATATCATCCATGGTGCTGTCTTGGCATCCAAGGTTGGCTTTCCCTGCTGGAAGGATTAATGTCATTTCTGTGTCCGTCCTGTAGGCACACACCGTTACTGTGATCACTCTGGTGCTGTTATTAGCTATATGTAGCATATTTTTTCCTCCTTTGGTGTTGCAAATTGGCATTAATAGGCATGGTTTGGAAAATGTTATTTATACTAAAGAAATTATTAGAACTATTCTGCTACTTAAAACTTTATTGGCTATTTTCCTTGTGCTCTTTAATTCACACTTAGGGCTGGGTGGTTGGGAAAAGGGTCTTGTGGCAGAGTGAACTGAGATCTTTGGGATTAGTGGGGAGTTTTGTGTCAGTAAGTTATTGAAAATATGCCCTAAACCAGAACAAGTTTAGGGGACGGAGGACATCTGTCAAATGATTTGAAGAAATTTAAATGAGTGGAAGATGTTAGTGGGAAATTAGGTGCTGTCGCTGATAGAAATTTCTCTCAAACAAATGACAAATAACCAGATGTTGAGATCTGTTTTTATAAAGTATTCGGTTGTCCATCTCAAAAAGAAGAGGCATAGATTTGAGGTAGGCTTTACAGATTTTGCCAGGGAAAGTATTGTTTTAAGAGCTGTCAATGTAGAGCACATGGCTTTTCCAGAGATGTCCTCGTGACGAGAGCTCTCCTTCCTGAGCAAGCCTCGTGCAGCGGCAGCCGTTGAGAGTACGCGTCATCTTTTACATGTCTGTTTGTTACAGCGTCCTACTGGTTTTTAATAGAAATACTGTGTGGAATAAAACTCATTAGTTTCTTCTTTTTCAGCTTTTTAATCAGAAATTCTGGGAACAATGCTTCTGTTCCATCCCTGCAGGGTCTCTAGTTGAGGTCTGTAGTGACATCCCAGGGATGTCCACAAGGTTCCAGGGATGTTCCAATACAAGCACTCTCAGATTACCTACCCTTGTTCACACTGGCCAGCTGCCTTGTTTATAACCTTCACCTCTCCCTGTTAAAGAAACAGCTGAAAATACCTCTTTTCATTTCAGAGCAACTTACGCTTATGTTTTGTCCCTCCGAGATATTTAAAGCTCAAGCGCTGTGCAGTGTTTTAACATAATTGTTGTGTACAGTTCTCCCTGTGTACTTGCTCACCTCAGCAAACAAAGAATCACACATCATTGATGTTTAGAGTCTGCAAAATTTAGTCCCTGAGGTTGTTTATACACTATGCTTGTTTTATTTTTCTTTCCCAGTGCTCATATCTGTCAGATGACAGCTGGGAAATTCAAGATACTAGTGTCTGTATGAAATGAGAAACCATTTTCTGTTGGTTTAATAGACAGGGCAGCAGTTCTAGGAGGAAGACACCACAGTTTTTTCTTCCCCAATTTAAGGCCTGAAACTAAACACCTCTGGGTATTTCTTGTTCTGCTGTGAAGTGAGTTTCCTGTGCAGGCAGCAGCAGGATCAAGCCTGAGAGCCCAGGCTGGAGCAAGAACAGTCCCCAGGTTTTATGTGACGAACAGGGTGGTGGTGACACTGTGAGCTGAAGGTTGGCTCTGGATCTTGCTCTGAAGCAATGATCACATGGAAGATATTTCGCGTTCGTGTAGGTGATAATTATATATGTGACTGTTTTCTAGCAGTCAAGTCAGGTATGAAGCACTCAGATGTGCTTCCATGCTGTGGATGTTTGGGGTCTCTAATGCTACAGTTACAGGGATTGGGTTGTTCTTGCCTTACATGGTGTCACGTCATATTCTTCATGTAAGCGCATACCATGTACAGGTACAAAGTGGACTCTAATTTTTGAGGGGGTTTGCATCATATTCATGAACAAATGGAGAGGCAGGAAGGCCCATGAAGTGGTCTGCAGACTGGGAATCTGGTAGTGCTCTTCTAAAATGTGAGGCTGACCGAGGAAAGCCACCTGGCGTGGCTGGAGCTGGCCCTGAGCATGAGGCATCCCCTTACCAGCCTGTTCTTTCCTCTTTGTGATCTTGGGCAAGACACAGAGATGTGGCACTGAAATGTCCCCATTTGTAGAGGAAAGATAACAATGCTCATCTTCCAAACAGGGATTTTGCTAGGATTAGACAGTTTCTGTGGGTCTTTAAAATGTAAAGTGCTACATAAACGATGAGCGTCCCTGTTAAACACCGGGGACATATGTGGTGTTGTATAAATAGCAAACAATAATAAAAATATTAAATTGGGTAGACTTCTTAAATACTTATTTCTCCAAGCTGCCACTAACATCTTTTTTAAATCATTCAGAAGCAAATTAGCATGCAAATGCTTCTGCCTCCATTAACAGATGATTTTGCCAGTTTTTAGTTTAAAAGATGAACAATGCAAGATGAGAAGTTAGAGCCTGTTACTCTCTGGGTGACAATGGAAATCAGCTGTCAAGAAGAATTCAAGAGATTTCTGCTTCTAGTTAAAAAACCCCACAATTTCTTAAAGGAAGTCTAAAGCGGAAATACCATCTAGGATCTGGTGACCTCAAAGGAGCAAATTACTAAATACAGAAGCATTTTAAAAACTCACCTACACCCATCAGGGGAAAGCAGTGTATCTTTGCAAATGATCTGCCTTTTGAATTTTGAGAGGTCATACATGTTTGGTGTCATCCAGGCACACAAATCAGTGAAACCCAGCAGTGGGACATGACTGACAGCCCAGTTTTCAGGTAGGCTGTGGGATTTTGAACAAATCCTAAATGAGTTCAGAGCTAGTCTGAATCAATGTGGGTGAAGCAGATGGGTTTTGCTCCATATGAGAGAAAGGAGAATCAGATCTGTTGCCTGGAATCCGAGTGTATTAATGGATTTCTCTGCTATTTTGCATGCCTTTTCCTGCTTATCTCCAGTTTTCACTCTCTTCCTCAGTGTTGTTTCTGGTTTTCAGATTTTATAAACATCCTTCGTCCCTTTAAGGTATAGTCCCATCTTACACCTAAGCCTATTTAATGGCAGCTGCTGTCAGAAGCTCTCTGAGCTCCACTCTTTGTTTTGAATTCTTGCTATTCCTTTTGTGTTGGACCTTGCGGAGGTGGTTGGCCAAATATGATGCAAAACTAACTCACAAAAAAAACCCCACAAAATCCCAAACCCTACCTTTTCCCTTTTACCAGCCCAGTAATCAAATTTAACACAAGCAAGGGGACAGGAACCTGGAGCAGGGACAGGCTGCTGGAATGAATGCAAACTGCTGATTTTGACAGAAACCTACAGTTGCACCAGATTAAATGTAATGTGAAATTCTTGTGGTAGCACTCCCTGAGTGGGGAAGGTGTGATAGGAGCATGTGTTCAGGCAGATAAACTGGCTATCGAGGGAATGTGCTGCTCACACACACTGTAGGTCTCAGGAGACTCATGCATACGGACTCACCTTCTCACAGGTCTGGAGCTGCTCTCCAGAGTGACACAGAAGCTCAGGGACGGGGGACAGCCTTGCCATGGCAATACAAGTATTGATGGTGGCAGCCCTCTCCTGCCTGGGAGTCTGTTAGGAGGACCAGCCTGCTGCCTGTGCTGAATCTGGCTGCTTTAATGTCAGTGCCACTCCTGGACATCACCCTCGGGCATAGCAGGGTTGACATGCCCCTGGTTTGCTGCTGTCAGATGTGTTACAGCAAAGCCAGGGAGCAGTCAGTTCAGACATCAAGATTGACATCAAGATTCACATGCAGACAGAGTTCAGATTAAGTGTGTGATCTACCCGGAGTCATAAATGTTAGTGCAAACAGATGTCTGTGATAATTAATTAAATACTGCTGATGAATTTGTAATAACTGAGACAGACACAAAGTGCCTTTATTCAACGTGCAAAACAGCATCTCTAGCAGCTGAGGGCGGGCTGTTGCATTACTGTTCAGCTGTGCCCATCGCAGTTCTAAAGCTGCTGGTCTTATGGACGGGAGCAGAAAGTCGCCCTGCACCCAGGGAATGAAGGATAGTTCAGTACATGGTTTTATTCGCAGTCATGTTAACAGCAGCACATGTGTTAACAGGAAAGAAAGATCATCAGCTGAAGATGCTGTTGAACCAGCGTTAGTGTTAACCCTGTATATGGTGTAACACAAACAGCCTATAGCATTTCTTTTTCTCTATATATATTACACAAACACAGGAGCTACCTGCAGGAACGTATCTTTGTATAAACAGGGCACCTTAACTCGGAAGCCAACAGGAGGAGTCAGTAAACACAGGTCCTTTGTCTATCTTGTGACTCTGCCCGACACTGCTGAGCCAGGGATGGGGCAGAGTATTATTTTTAGGGATCTGTCCTGGTGCCAAGCAGCAGGTAGGGAGAGCAGAGCCATATTAAATCCTGGATACGGTACAGGTTGGTCTGGATAGCTTCATACCAGACACAGGCACACAGCCTGGTAACATGCGGCAACTTCTCGAGTGTGTGGTGGCTGCTGGAGGAGAGGACCTGGGTTAATGAGGGATGTTCTGGTGACGCATGATTCAGCTTGGCCCACAAGCTGCTCAGAGCAACAGCATGAGTCACAGTTCTTCGGTTAGAATTGCCAAGGGCCCCAGAAAATGGAGATGTTTATTGCCAAGCAGTGGGCCCAAGGACCTCCAGTGTTCATTGCGTTCAGGACATCACATCACTGAAACATTTTTGACATTGTAGCCAGCAAAGACTAACAAGACCAAGGCCTGAAGGCACTTTTCACTGCAGCAAATAGCACCAGCTGGCACTGCAGGAGATGTTATACTCCCTGTGGAATGATTTCTGAGCTCTGTAAACCTTATGTGTTCCTGTGACTTGATGCTCAGGCAGCAAAAATTGGCAAATCCCCTCCACCTCCATGGGGGCGATGCTCTGGAAGTGGAACAGGATGGGATTACAGGAGGAAGACTGGATAAACTGGAAGAAAGAAGAAAAGAAGCCAGCAGGAAGAGTTGTATATCAATCTAGGATATATATAAGTGGTACATTACAGCTGAAACCAGCTGCCCTAATAAATCCTTGCCTCCTCTGGTAAAAAAAGAGAGGGAGAATATGTGGGGCCAGACAGACAATTGCTGCTATGTTTCTAAGCACTCTTGCATATTTCTGATAAAGGTAATACAAGTCTAAAAGATGAACCATCCTGTGTTAGCAAGCAGATAAAGAGACGATGATTAGAGAAGTCCAGACCTGCCAAGTCCTCTGTGTTCAGCACAAGATGTTTGGCCACTGTGTCCCTGTCTGCCTCTGTAACGCTCTCAGCTTGCTTATTTCCTAAACAGCTCCAGAAGGTTCCTGGACCTCAGGTACGAGATGTAGATGTGATGGCTGCTCAGAGATGTAAACTTATTTTGCAGAATGAATGGCAAGAGCAGCAGTCTCCAGGTAAGGTGCACATTCCTCTCTCTCTGTTCTGGGAGTGAAGGAACTTTAGCTCCATGCAGTGGCACCTTGAGTAAAGGTTCAGCCTCTGAGCTAATGCACCTCTGCCAGCTTTCCTCAAGGGGCTGCAGCACATAGCAAGGCACATGGTTTCAGAATACGGGCACACAATCAAGTGATAGTTCCTCTTGTTTAACTGAGTTGTGGCTGCTCATCAGCTGAGCTTCGGTAACTCAGGGGAGGAGTGCTCACAGCTGGTGCTAAGGGCAAATCCCAGCATGCCAGAGCACGGCCATGGCAGCAGAGGAGCTGCAGTAACATGTTACAGTGGTTTTGTTTTGTTCATTTGCTTTAACTAGGATACAGAGGAGATTGGTTTATTTATAGATGGCAAAACTGAGAGAGCCTCAGAATAAGCCCCACAGCCTGGGAGTCCCAGCCCTCCACATCTGACACGCACATCTGGCTGAGAGAAGTTGTGCTACTCCGAGATGTCAGGACGAGGGGTACAGCACACATGCTCAATGTTGGCTGCAGCTGGTTTGGCTCCCTCAGACAGTGCTTGCTCACATGAACTCGAGACTCTGGGTTTCTAAACAAGTAGCTCATCCTAAACTGAAGTAAAGGTGCCTCAATCCCTGCATGCAACTTCAAGGTGCTCCATGGTGGGTGACACAAGCAGCCAGACAGCAGCTGTCTGCTTTCTGCTGAGGCTGGGGCATTCACAAGGGACACTCTAATGGTAAATTGTTCAACACAACAGCACCCTGGCTTTCAGGAGGGAGAAGGGAAATCCTTTCTTCTCTGTATCATCAAAATAAAGAGAAGCAGCATGCTCAGGAGGTGTAGGTAGCCATTGGTCTTTCTGAAAGGTAGGCTGTGAGTGGGTGTGTATATGTACCTCTGCCAGAATATAAATGTATCCTTCATCAGAAACACATTCTCTACCTCCTCACAATTGAAAGAGATCACATAAGATGTTTTCATTTGCAACATCTTAAAAATCTGTTCTGCCTTAACCATCAGTCTTAGAAAAAAAAAAAAAAAAATCTGTGGATATGAGTTGTTAGTTTTGATAATGTTGGGAATTGAGCTCTTGTGTGATATGATTCATGAAGTTTTCTAAGGTGTAAAAATGCTACCACTCATCTAGTAATTACTAACAGCTTGACTGATGGAAGAAGAGATGTGTAACTTTGTCTTGCAGCAAAGTAAGACTCCATTTTTGTTTGGGACTCTGTGTACCGCGTGGTTTCTGTAAGTGGCAGGAGAGGAAGGGATCAGTTAATCTTTTCCGGTTGAAACCTCTTTGATGCCTGCAAACTGAATGAAGTTTGATGTATTTTTAATTAATAGCTCCACACAGAGACAGTTTGGGATGGTCAGTGGGTGAGGAGGGATACGACTTCTGAGCTTAGCATAAATCATTGTTTGCCTTTTTTTCCTGCCAGACTTAACTATTTTCTGCATGGTTTTCATGTCATTTCTTCCACCAGGATGAAATAAAATAAATGCATGAATGATAAAGAAATCCCTGGTCAGTTCTGTTCTGAGAGACCAATGTTGGAAGCTTTAGAGTGAGATAAGTGAAAAGACGACATAACTTTTCAATACCTATTTCAAAGACTGTTTTTCCCTGCTTAATCTTCAAAGACTTTTATTTTGTTACAGCTGACAGTTTTGATCCCTAATATATTCACAATGCTCTCTGTACAGATTGTGGGCGTTCAGAGATGATGGGGGGTGGTGTCTACCCTTACTGACTTGGAGGCACTGGTCTCCTGCAAGGAAAACCATAATCTCCAGTATTTGCAATATCCTCTTATGCACAGGTAAAATCAACAGGATCTTGACATTCAGTGTAAGCCTGACAGCAATCATGAAAAAAATCCAAACAAATAACCCCCCTCCAAACCCTCAGGAGGTATTAGATTGAAAGCAAATGGTTTGGAGATTAATTTATTTGAAATTTCTAAATGCAGAAAAAGCTTCCATGCCTTTGAGTACTAATTAGATGCAAAGCTTGTGATTTATATGTGTATTTGTGACAGGGAATGATTGCTGGAGTGATGTGCCTTGATGCCATGTGCCCAGTGCCTCATCCTTCTTGGGCAAATGCTACAGACTCTGACTGCAGGCCACCAGTAGCTTTACCACACCATCCTGCTCTGTCTGGTGGTTTAGGAACTCCTGTTTTCACCTGAGAGCAAGGAATTTTAGTGCTTCCCTGGCCTGTGTCTAAACCAGTTTCCCCATCCCATGAAACTGGGCGCTGGGGGATTTCTCAGTGCTCAAACCCCACACACCCCCAGGCCCCGTATGTGGCCAGGCTGCCGTGGGAACGCACACGCTGCTGCAGGGTGCCCTGGGCATCGCGGGAGCACCATGATGGACAAAATAACTGCTCTCTCACAGCAAGCAGAGGTCGATCATGCTCTGTCCTAAGTGAGCTCAGATTCAATCTCCGTCTTTGAAAGTGAGCAGAGCCTACTCAGCCTTTCTTACAGCTATTCATCAAAACTTCAAAGAGGTAACATTTTTCCTGCAAGGTAGGGGCACAGCCTGGCATCCCTTTTTACTTAAAGCAGTAAATCTTCATTTTCTTAGAGCTCTAGGAGCAATTTCACATCTCCATATATCCCTGTTTATAAAGATGTTACTTATGCAGACATCTCTTCTACAAAATCTTTTCTGCCTCAAAAGATTCAGTACCCTTCAAGCACTATAGTGCCCTTTTAATGCACATCTTGTTTCCAGCCCAGCACCCTGCCTAGCCACAGGACTCTGCCTTCTGCTGTAGCTTCAGCCTTCTACTGACAGCAGGTAATTTGCAGCTTGTTCCCCTCCATGCAAAAGCAAAGCTGATCATCAGCTTCTTCTAACCCATTGCCTCTTACTTCAGATAAAAGGCTGTCCTCCTTCACTAGGCAGCACGGAAACATGTCAGAAAGGCACCGCATCACATGGCCAGACTTGTCACGTTAGAGGCGAGTCTGATCCTTTCCTTTGGGATCTGTCATTCTGTGTTGCAGACCAGCCCAAGCAGCTACAGGGCTCTCTCATTAGCATTCACTGTATTTAATGCAGAATTGTAAAATACTGAACTCAGATGAAAACAGTCTGACTTAAGTTACATGGCCAACTGCAAGCTATCAGAGCAAGACGTGCTCTCCCTGTGATGGAGCAGCATCAGGCCACATCTGAATGCTTGTGGCAATCCCATCTGGGTTTTATTCAGAAATAATTTAGTAATACTCATGGGACTGAAGAAATTAATATCCACTTACCCACTGGGGTTTGCTGAGGGTATTTTCAGGTGTGCTCTGAAGAGGCTGTTGAAAGACACAGTGAGACAAAGGAGAGAGCTTGGGGTGCTGAGTGCCCTCAGCCCAGAAGCTCTGCTGAGAATTTGCTGACCTGGTTTGATACCACATGTGCCTTGCACTAATCCAAGTTAAGTGATTTCCCCAGGAGGCTTCCAAAATTACAAATATAAGGAAGAGGAAAATTTGACCCTAGCCATGATGATAGTAGAAATACCAGTACTTGCTGCTTACTGGGGGAGGGGAAGAAAAATGGGTGAAAAAAGAGCAAAGACTGAGCAGACGTGCTGTCTCTAGACTACCTCTAATAGTGGCAGTGCTGGCAAAGCAAGGCATGAAGAGGTAATAGTGATCCGACCTTAACAAGCCAAAGCCTTGGTGGCTGTAGCCCTCGCCACGGCAGGCTGTGCTGGGCTTCTCTTAGCTAACCTCTCTCCACTTGGTACTTTCTTAATTCTAGTCCAGGCACCGCATTTGTCCAGCTCATAGTCAGTCTTACACCACGTTTGCCACTATACTGTCGTTCTAGTCTTCGCAACTGAGAAGCTGGCAAGGAGCAGACGAGAGCCGTCAGCCCTGTCCCTAGCTCGGTGCGGGCCTCAGGCAGGTGCTGCACAGGAAGGAGCTTTGCTCTCCCTGTTCTGTTATTTTGGTACCTCCAGCGTTGTAAGCCCTCCTAACACGGGCTAATTCTTGGACACATTAAATGCCACCATACTGCAAACACACCAACTAGTTCCTCAGGGCTTAGCTACATCAGTGAATGGCACAATTTGTAATTCATTGTGTCAATAAGTGGGTGTGTTAATCAAGGGGAAAATCTGTGCAATTGGCTGATCTTGATTCCAATTAATTTCCCATTAACAGATTTCCTAAATCATTAACAGAATGCCTAGTTACAGATGATGCCAATAACTCTTTGGCACATATGGCCTTCCTGCCATCCTGGGAGGGAGTGGGCTGGCTCAGTCTGAAGGGAGAACTTTGAGGATCCTGGTGCCTTTCTTAAAATAAGGACTTTTTTACCTGAATATTTTTATAGAGAAGACTGCTTGCTGGAAAACCTGTGTCTTGGTTAAGATTGATCTCTTTGTAAAGCAAAATTAGGTTTTGTGCGATAAGCAGAGTTTACAGTAGCATGTGTATTGTGAAGTTTGATAATTTTGATTTCTATCTGAAATTATTGTGGCTCTACTAAAATCTGAAGAATATTGTGTTCCATTTGTATCCCTTGCTTTTTTTTCCTAAATGATGAGGGCTTTTCACAGCATAAATACTGGAAAAAAAAATAATCATGTGAGTGAAGCATTATCTATCCTTTTCTATCCATCCCAAAAGACTCTCAGAGCTATGGAAAAGCACTTTGGAGCTGCTAGTAATTGGGGGTATTGATTGGGTAGTAGGGAGTCAAGATTCTGGCTTACGATTCAGAAAACTTGCTACAGGATCAGACCTCTAAAATATGTAGTATTCAGCATGTCAGAGAAGGAAGAAAGTTACATAAGTGCTTCAGGTTCCTGCTGGTTTGCACCACTTCACTGTTGAAGAGTTGCCTTAAATTCAACTTACCGAGTGGACTCCTTCAGTGGAGAGGAAGTTTTGGGAGCTGAGACTTACTGGGTAGGAACTGTGGATTTAGACCATGAGCAGGATGACATAGCAAAGAAAGTTAATTTTTCT